TTGCACAAATTCGAACATCTGGGTTGTGCTGTTCTGTTGTAAATAAATCTTAACCAATGATTCCTCGTTGCATCTACTTTCGGAAGGCCAAATAAAGTGCTTTTGCTTTCGCACAGAAACAGTGTCTCCCTGACATGGCTGCATCAACACTACTGCGGTTCCTGAAACCACATCTTCATTCTTTGCATGAACATTTGGGCGGCATTACGCAAATATTTCCACATCGTGACGTAGAGATGTGGGGGCATGTTTGAATGAGGTGTTTTAGCCCGGTCTGGATCAGCCTTCTCTTTTAGATAGAATAAATCCTTTTGTGGGAGACTTTGAGCTTTGTAACTCTGCAGATCTTATACATGCACAAATAGCTACATAACACACTAAAGAAAAGGAAAAATAGAAATGGCATCATATGACCCCTTTAAAAATGTATCAGTGTACACATCTTTATGAAATGTATAGTGTTCAAATTTTATTCTAGAGGTATCATTTCAATATATTTTTAAGAGTTTAAAAGCATGAAATTGAGTGCTGCAGGGACGATGCATTTTAGAGTTAGAATTTTAGCACTTCCAGTTACATTGTCCTGAAATCAGTGGATGTGTCAAACGCCTGAAATGAGGTCTGTGGTTCACAAGCTCAGGGTATTTTCACGTTTTATTCTACAGCATAAAATACACTGGTAATACCACCTTGTGAATTTTTAAAGCTTTTACTTGTCTTGAAAACACAAAAAGACTGTCGCAGCAGACTAGTGGGTAGAGAAGTTCTGTCGCACATAATGACGATTAATGTCCCTGACAACCTCTGTAGTCCCATTTAGCCACTTGTGAACAAGTGCCTTTTCATTTGTAGAAAGCAGAAACAATGAAACTCACCTACTCACTAATCTACTTTCATAGGTTTGTTTTTAGTCACTCTTGCAGTGAACAATTTTAACTCAAACTTTCAGGGAACTTTTTGTAACTGAAGAGTAAACGGTTTATAGAGTGCTTCCGAGACTTCTGACAACTGCCTTTGACGTCAAATTCAGGTGTTGACTACAACTAATTTCTTGTTTTCCTCAGAGTGCATGCTTAATATGAGAGGACATTGAAAGTTATCACAAACAGACGTTTCCTTTTCCACCATCATTAACTTTATTCACCACAAAACAAGAGTTGCAGAAGTGACCATTTATTTTGAAAAGTGATCTAAACTGAAAATGTTAAGTCAATAAACTGAACAAAACTTGGAAACTATGGGACAAAGGGGATTGTTCCACAAAGAAAAAAGAAAATTTAAGGCAATGGCTTCTTTGTTGTCTTATTCAAGGACACATTTTGCAGATGCTTAGACAGTTTAGCAGCATCTGACAATTTCGTTTTGGATGGAGTCTTCTTGCACTTACGCTGCTTGACTTTTGGCTTCTGTAAGAGATAATTTAGAGGAGCATCTCCAATATATAATGTATTGAGAAACACATATTTAACATAACCATCACAAGTTTACCTGTAGTTTTGTCTTCTGAGGCTTATGGACCACAAAGTGCCTTTTCAGACTTTCCTGTTTGAAAAAAGGACTTAACTTCATTTAATTAAAATATAAATATAAACATAACAGGGGGTCTTTATGAACTTAAAATATTGACTTAATGTTTTTTTTAAAACACCACACACGCACACGCTGACCTCCATAGCAAAGGCTTTACCACAGCCTGCAAAAGGGCAGGCGAAGTCATGCTTCCCTTCATGGAAGACCAGAATATGGTTCTGGAGGTTGAAGTTTGTGGTGTAGCTCTTTTCACAGCCTTCTCTAATGCATTTAAACATGCGCCGCTCCCCAGAATGAACAGATTGTTTGTGCTTCTGCAAAAACCAGGCATTGTGGAACATCTTCTTGCATTGATCACATGGCAGGGTTACTGTAAACAAAATGATTAAGCACAGGAACTTTACAACTTGCATTCAAATTAATCATCAAAGTGACCGAGCACATACCTCTGTGTGCGGTCTTTTTGTGCTTCTGATATTCTGACCAAGTTTTTCCTTTGAAGTGACAGTACTCCTCATCACATGGGTAACCTAAAATTTAGGAGGGAAAAGTTATGAATCTTTAAAAAACCTAAACTGGATTGTTTGGAGATGTGAAATTTAGGTTTCTGCCTGATGTACACATTACCTTCATGCATCTTCCAATGTCGTTTTAGAGCTTTAGAGGAAGCAAATTTGTCATTGCATCCCTCAAAATCACATCTATTAGAATAAAGCATGAGTAACCACTCATAATATAAAAGCCACCAAACGAAGCACATAAGAGCTTAAGTAACACTTACTCAAAGGGCAACTCATTTGTGTGCT